AGCTTTCTAGAGAGAGAGAAAGTGGGAGTTCTATGGAGAGAAAGAGGTCTGAGAGAGACAAAGAGACGGAGAACAAAAAAGGGTAGCGAAACAGAAATATTTTGGGAAAGTGGTGCTCACTGCAGAGATTTTTAGGGAGATACAGAAATTTCAGGGTGGGAGAGAGAAAAAGTGGGCATGCAATTAGAGTGAGAAAGAAATTGGTTTGCCTTTTAGAGAGAAAGGGAGATTGGTTTTCAATGATCTCATGGACTGGTGTTTAGAGAGAAAGAGAGGCTGGTTTTTCGTTTAGAGAGAAACTGATAAACAGATGGCATGCAGTTAGAGTGAGAAAGAAACTGGTTTTCAATGACCACTGTAGTGGGTTTCTATTAGAGAGAGACTCAATAGCCAATGATTGCCATTTAGAGAGAAAGGGAGAGGTTGCTGACATTTACGGAGGTTGCAGAGATTGCAGAGAAGACCCAGAGAGAGATTACAGAGATCTTAGGAAAACAGAGAAATCAGAGGTGCAAACCGTTGTAGAGCGCCTTCGGAGCCAGAGAGACAGAGAAAAAAGAACCTTGCTCTAATACCATGTGAGAGAAACCTTTTCTCTTTATTCCATTGAATTACTGGTATTACAATACAATGATATTTTTATAGAGACTGTACAACCAATACTTGCTAAAACTATGGGATACATTTTCTATGTAGACATAGTATACAATTAGATACAAACAGGTTTGGGATACAATTTCTACTTAGAGAGTTGCTATATATGTGGCACTACTTTTTCCCTCTCTCTATCCATCATTCAACAATAGGACAGTTTTGTCCTTTTTCTCCATAGTTTCTTTCGAACCCCCCTCCCTCTCTCTTTGTATACAAAAATTATGTACCTAAATGGAGGACTTCCCAAATCTGTCTCTCTCTCTCTAAACAAGGGCCAAAACCTCACAACAGACATTTGCCGTATGGGTCTTAACAGGTCAAGAATTTCTTCAACCAAAGTTCATAGAACTTCCTTTGTTTTTGGGGTTTTGGTCACAAGAATCTAATAACCCCATTGAGCGCTGATTCACTGGTACTCCAAGAGCATGCCCATTGGTAACTAATGCTCAAATAACTCCCTTCATTAGCAGTCACATGTCAAAGCAGAGAGAAAGATAATTTAACATGTGGAGCTCATTGGAGAGAGAGAAAGTGAGGTAGGACGACATCCTTCTTTAGATAGAGAAAGATGGGCTTTTGTTTCTCTTTTCTTTTTTAGGGTAAGTTCTATAACAAGTTTCTAGCCAGAAAAAATTTATATAAGGTTGCAACCTTAAAATGTAGACTTACATGTGCACCGTAAAAATCTATTAGAAAAAGTTGTTTTAATGTTGAAAAACCTTTTAATTGATTATCTCGACATCAAGATGTAGGACTATGAAAAAAAAATGATTTTGAGTCCCATAAATAATGCATCTTGCAACACATTATCTAGACCGTTCATTTTCAAGATTTTCATATGTTTATAGACCTACTTGATTTTATCCATTTTTTAGTTTCAAATTTTATAATTAGAGATGAAAAAAGATTTTAAGATCATCCTAAGAATTTTTTACACCAAAATTATATATGATGATCAAATTTAGAGATGCATCTTAAATGGATTGTTTACGGTTACAACCTTATAGAAACTACACCCTTTTACAAATAGTCAATTTTTTAACTCATTGGTGAGAATAGAGGTTAAAACTTTAGTACCACCAAAGTTTCGTTAGTTTAAAGAGGGAGGTAGGCTTCTATCCAATTTAAAGAGTGGGTACGCTTCCATCTAGGTAACCAGTGTAGAGAGAGGGAGTGGTGGGCTGATAGATTTCTGTCAAGAAGAAAAAGGTAATTGTCCTTTTATGCCAGGTAGGTGTCAGGATCAACCTTTGTGTAATATGGTTAGTTACAAGTGTGTTATTGTAGAATAAGAAAGTAAAATTTATTTTCTAGTAAATACCGCCCTTTTCGTTTTTTTTTCTAACATCTGTTTCCTCTTCTTGGTTTAATAGTGATCACAAAATCTTGATTTTTACAGTATATTTTTTTATTTTATTTCTCTTATCTGAAACTCAATGTTTAATTGTAATCAGGTCTTTCTAACATTTTTCCCAATTATTGTGACTTATGTAGTTGCTATGGTACAAATTTTGATATACGATTTATGTCTCTTTGTAATTTTGATGTAGTATTTTGAATCCCAATGATTCTTCTTTTTAGCCTCCTAAGCCACGTTTGGTTTGTGCGTAAATATTTTCTCAAAATTATTTTTCATGTGAAAATTGTATTTCATACGTGCAGATCCATTATTTACTATTTACAATATAATATATATTGTATAATATTTTATTTATGGGAAATGACTTTGTGAGACCCTCCCACACCCATGTGTAAAGGATCTCAAAGGATCACCATTAAATTTGGCACAGATATCTAAAAAAGTCAAATCCCACATCCATGTGGTAACTTTTTTAGAGATCTATACAAAATTCAATGGTAATATTTTGGAGTCCTACACACATGAGTGTGGGAGGGTCTCATAGGATCATTACTCTTTATTTATATATCAAATAATATGTTAAATATTTCAATAATATCTAATATATAGTATATAAATAACATTTTATATAACTAAATATATTATTTTATATTTTATCATATTATATAACATGAGATAATATATATTAATATAATATAGAATTATAATATGATACATTATATTTTTATAATGGAGCGACAAAATGGCAGAACATTTATTGTTTGAGCTCCTACAACAAATTCCCCATAAAGTTTCATTTGTACGAGTAAATGAAAGAAATTGCCCCATAAAGTTTCATTTGTACGAGTAAATGAAAGAAATTGTTTTGTCTAGGCCGGGGGCCACACTACTATCTAAATCATATGATTCCATTCAACAAATTATTAATATAATATGATATATAACATTATTACAATATTGTATTACATAATATTATGTTATATAATATTATAGTATATATTAGTTTACATATATTATATTATTGTATATTACATTATAGTATAATATATTTTCATAATATATATATTTGTTGATAATATATATTTATATAAATAAATTTATATATATTTATATTTGTATTATATTATATAATATATTATATATACTATATTTATATTTATTTTATGAATGTAATTTGTATTATATATAAGGGTAAAACTACCAAAAGTTGGCACTTTTAATTAATAGTAATATGGTAGAGACAATTTACCTTTTATACATAGAGGTCACCATCATTCTTACCCATTAAATTTCAAAATGGGTGGTTGTAATAGTATCATTGATTAGACATAAAATTCGAAAAATGAAATCTCAAACTTTGTGACACACCCAAACCATCCAATTTGATATTTAATGAGTGGAAATAGTTGTGATCTCCTTGTACAAATGATAAAGGGCTTTGTAGACAATCCTTGATAATATAGGTGAAATCTCAATCGTTAGATGTTTATCAAATGGTTCAAAATACATGTCACTATCTGAATTTTAATCTTTTCTCTAGACAATAGATCGAGATGAAAGTTTGGATGTTTAGACTTGACACCATCGTGCACCATATAAAAATATAAAAGAAAATACTTTCAAGATTTTAAAAGGACCAAATTATCCCCATAATTAGCTGGCTAATTTTAAAACTTTTAGATTCTAGAGCATCCCTCCAAAATTCTAACTTCGTGTTGACGGCGTTCCGAGTCTCATTGATCAAAACTATATCATCAGAAAATAACATGTACCACAGTACCTTATCTTGTAGGTGGTTAGTTAAATCGTCCATAATTAAGATAAAGAGGTACAGACTCAATGTTGACTATTGATGTAGACCTATTGTCACTGAAAACTCACTTGTCTCTCCACTATTTGTCCATACACTAGTTAGAGCTCTATCATATATATCTTTGACCAAGTCAATATAACATCTGTATTCAAAATTAACATCAGGTATTTTTTTTTGTCGGTATTTTGAACTTAAAATAAAAGAGTTAAGTGAAGTGTTAAATATTCGAGAAATCTTATTCTCTAATCATCTATCATGGACCTGAAGTGCCGTTTAATACGTAAAACGCAATTCCTAAGGACTAATGCTTGTGCTTATTTTAGGAGAACCATTCTCACCCTGAAAAAGAAAAACAGCTGACCTTCAATGCCCGTTAATGTAAATGACGGAGAAGCCTTTCGAAAAAGAGCACCGATGTTAGGTTTTCAGGTGAGCATACAATGTATTTACTCCCTCGTGCAAAACATCTATTTAGAAAGATTATTTTTCTAAAATTTTAGGAACTCACGTGAACTACTACATGATTAAAAAAAAAAAAAATTTGAGTCTTGAGTTTTGTGACTCTTATATTTGGCACTCAAAAATTGGACCGTCACTATTCTATCTTGAGGCATTATTATTATTTTTAGCACATAGAGAGTTTATTTCATAATGTTTTTATTTTTACGGGTTGTAGATATAACATTTCCAATTTTTAAGATATAAATGGTATTCCTAGTATGTATTATACCTGAGGGAGATAAGGAATAGTATATTTCGGTAGAAATAGGAAATATTTTTGCATAAAAAATTTGGGTATGTCTACGTAATTTCATATTTAATGATCAAGATTAATTGTGACGACTATGTACTAAAGATAAATACTTTTGTCCCATGCTTTTTCATCAAAAAATCAAATAAATAAATAAATATAAAAAAAAAAAGAAAAAAAATAGGTTGAGCTCCCATAATATTTCAAATTCTTTACTTGGGCCTAAGCTAGACATTTCAGATAATATTTCGGTGAACCGGTCATTTGTACGATATTCTATCCTTTGATTGCAACGTGTCTGATGAAGTCCTTGCAATTCGAGGACGATGAGGCCTTGGTGAAAGGTTCGATCTTATCGCCTTCAAACAAATGTCTATATTGTCTTCTTCTATTTTTATATTTTTCGTTCGAAACCCAAATAGCTCCCAAACGAAGAATGAAGAACTCTGTCGATCTAAAATGGCTTCTATCCTTCTCTCTCTTTTTCATCATCGTCCTAAATTCATCATCTGCAACTACTGAAACACCCCAAGAACCATTCTCTCTCAATCTCTTACTCAACAAGCTCTTTCAATGGAGAAAACCACCATTGAAACAAAATCAAATTACACAGCCAATGTTCTCAATCCGGACAATTTTAGCGGCACTACTAATCTCGGCTGCTGCCTCTATTTCCAGCGCCCGAGGAATCGGTGGAGGGGGTCTATTTGTACCGATTCTAAACTTGGTAGCTCAACTGAACATGAAAACATCAGCTGCTATATCATCCTTCATGGTAACTGGTGGCTCTCTAGCCAATGTTATCTACAGTTTATCACAAAGGCACCTCAAATTTAGAGACAAACCTCTAACTGATTATGATATAGCCATGCTATCAGAGCCATGCATGCTTTTAGGTGTGAGTTTAGGGGTGATCTGCAATGTTATGTTCCCGAGTGGCTCGTCACTATTCTCTTGGGGATTTTTCTGACATGCTGTACTTTCGCGACCTGCAAGGTGGGTGTGTGTCGTTGGAATAGAGAGAGTGGTGCTTTGCTTTTGCTGGAAAATGAAGATGGATGTGTTCTTGATGATGTTGCACCAGTCAATGGCGAAGGGCCACAGACTCCGCTCTTGGCGGAAGAGAGAGAAGTGGGCCGAGTTCTTCCTTTAAAAAAATTGGAGGTTCTGGTTACTGTGTGGGTGAGTTTCCTCCTTCTGCATGTATGGCAAGGAGATCGACATGGCCAGGTAAGTTGATTTATACTACTTTCAAGTTTTTTGTTTCTTGGGGTGTTCATATTTTTTGTTATGGTGGGCTTAAGTTTGGTTGATTTATAATTGAACTCAATGGTTCTCTCAGTTCGATTGAAGAGTTTAAGATTTTTTCTTTTCCTCCCATTATCTGAGTGTTCCGGTTGAGTGTTTGAACGTGAGAGAGGGGGTTATAAACTTTTTTATTACCTTCTGTGACAGGGTTTAATCCCCATAGTGCCCTGTGGAGTAGCATATTGGTTTATCTCAGCACTTCAAATTCCCCTCGCTCTAGTATTTACTCTCTGGTTTTTACTGCAGAATGAGAGGCCAAAACATCTCCATGTGAACCCACAGGTAAAGAGAGAGATTTCCTGGAGGAATTCCCATTCTTCTTTTTTCCTTTAGTGCTTATTCCCATTCTACCTTTTGGTTTTTGTTTCTTATGAGATTGAATTGATTAGTCATTTTTTTAGGAAATTCCAGGAAATTGATTTGGTTTTTATGGATAAACAGGACGATGTGATGGTTTTGGAGGGGAGACAATCCCCAAATCTTGCGTTTCCCATAGTGGCATTCTCATCGGGTGTTTTGGGTGGGTTATTTGGGATTGGAGGAGGAATGATTATAAACCCTGCTCTTCTCCAAATCGGAATTTCACTGCAGGTAAATTTCAATATTATTCTCTTTTCTTATTTTTCGAAGATTATGTCTATTAATTTGGTTGAGCATTTTTTTACATTTTTTCTAGTTTGATTTTACCATTGTGAAAAGGAAAAAGTTTTTATAAGGTTGCAACTTTAAAATGTAGAATTATCCATTGGAAAAAGGTTGTTTTAATATTGAAAGACCCTCTAATTGATCATCTTGACACCAAGACATATGAATATGATGAAAAAAAATATTTTGAATCCCATAAATAGTACATCTTGTAATACATAATCTAAGCCTACTACTTTCAAGATTTTCATATGTTTATTAATCTACTTGATTTTAACCATGTTTGAAGTTTAAAATTCTATTATTATATATAAAATAGATTTTCAAATAATTCTAAGAAAATTTTACGCACTGGAATATTTGGAGGTATGCCTTAATTGGATTGTTTAAGGTTCGAATCTTATAAAACAACACCCTTGTTAAAATTGTTAGAGCTTATGGAAATAAGCTCTTTCACCCTAATGGTATCGATTATTAAACTTTGGGTGTGTTAATAAAAAAGTCGACAGTAAAAAATAAACAATAATACCATGCACCAGCAAAAAGATTCAACTTAGCTCACGCTTTTGAGGTACGTCCACGGAGAGAGACAAATAATCTACCAAAAACGAGAAAATTAAAGGCTCTCTCTCACTAAAGGCTATCCCTAGATTCTCCCTTGGGTGGGCTTCTTCTCAAATGGCTTCAATAATAGTTTACCAAGGTTCTCATGATGTGGTTAAGTAGGCTTCACAGTGACTTGGCCCCAATGTTATTGGGTGACATGCCCAATTTGCCTATTACCCGATGGAAAGTTTCCATTGGGATCCCTCTGTTCGTGAGATACCTTTTAACAATCTCCCACTCTAGTTTCATGATGTAGGGTTTGCTTTTATAAATGGCTTTGCCGTTAATGGCACCTATGCCAGTCATGCTTCAACAATGCTAATTTTTTATCTTTGGCTAAAGTCTTTGTCATCATGTGCCAAATATTCTTGTTGCTGGATCTATTCCAGTTATAATAATTTGAAAAAATTGTGTAAAACCTCCAAATATAGACTTTTTAAGCACTTTACCCCCAATCTAACTTTTCTCAACAACTCCCCTCCCCACAAAAAACCCATGCTTCTTAGCAAATAGCTTTAATAAAAAAAAATTCATTTTTTTGATGAAAATACCTTTCTTTTAGATAACAAATCATTTTCGCTGGAGAGGATGGTCCGGTATTTGGAAGAGGCAATTATTTTGCTGGAACGAGCGGACTGGCATTTCATTGTGGTGCTATTGGAGATATGGGCAGTCTGGCGTTTTGAAATAGCGGTCTAGAAGTTTGAAAGGGTAGTCTGGAATTTTGAAGTGGCGGCATTTTGAAGGGGCAGTTCGGCATTTTAAAGTGGTGGTCCGGCGTTTTGAAGTGCGCAGCCCGGCGTTGTATAAGTGTGGTCTGGCGTTTTAACGTGAGCAGCCCGGCGTTGTATAAGTGTGGTCCGGCATTTCCTTTTATTGGGATCCGAAAATGATTTGTTATGAACAAGAAGGGTATTTTTTTAAGAAAACAGAACTCTTTGTATTGAGGGGTATTAGCTAAAAGATTGGTTTTAAGGAAAAATAACGTAGAAAAGTTAGGCTTCCATATTTGGGGGTTTTAAGCAAAATTTTCCCTAATAATTTCTTTTAAAAGATATCCCAAATATAGTGGTAATGCATATCAATGCAATTTGTCCTAAAGTTGAAGTTTGCATTCTTGCTTAAGTGGATAGTACAATTACTCTCCCCATATATGATATAGATGTTTTGTTTCACGTTCAATTCTTAGAAGAAATCTCTTCATCTATGACATCTTCTTACATTCCTTTGTTACAACAATATATTTGCCTAAATAGTAATTCTTACATTCCTTTGTTACAACAATATATTTGCCTAACTATTAATTCTTACATTCCTTTGTTACAACAATATATTTGCCTAAACAGTCAATAATGCCACACACTTCTACAATTTAATTTCCATGATACAACTCCCTTACAAAAGTGAACAAGTATCTCGAGAGTAACATTTTGGAATCAATATCTCCAGCGATATCTGAATATGTGTAGCGTCATAGCACATGTTTTCATACTTCAAAGTTTAAATAAACATTGGATGATCCCTTGAGTTTCCTTACCATCCACTTCATTGATTCCCAATGGTCGTTGCTTGTATTGGTTATGGATCTGCTCATCATGCAAATTCAATGCGCTAGATTTGGCCCTGCGCAAACAATGCGTATATCTAATTTCGTAAGACATGCATAGAAAATGTTTTACAATTCTTCGTTCTCCATCTCACTTGAAGGGCTCTACTTGATACATTGCTTGAGGCAACTACCAAGTGGAAAACCAATATGTTTTACACCAGGAAAAATTTTATATAAGGATGCAACCTTATACTGTTGAAGTAAGGTGCACCACAAAAATCCTACAGTGGAGAGTGTTCCGGCATATGAGAACCCTCTAACTGATCATCACAACCTTAAGTATCACAGCATTAAGATGAATGGACATGAAGAAACAAAATGAATTCCAAATCAAAAAATAGTGCAACTTGTAACAAGTTATCTAGACTGTCTATTTTCATGATTTTTGAATGTTACATGATTTGCTCGACCTATACTATTTTTGCAATTTTAAATTTTGTAACTGAGGATAAAAAGAGATTTCGAAGCCATCATAAAGTTTTCAACTCCGAAACGACATATCTAAGTAAATTTTATAGGTGCACTTTCACGCAACCTTATACAAACCTCAGCCTATGCCTAATAAATCTTGAACCTTTTGACCACTTTCTAAATATTCTTGTATTATGACAACAATAACTTTCCAGCCTATTACGAGGGATTTTGATGCCTAAAGTTTATTGAGCAGGTCCTAATTCCTTCATGGAAAATGATTTACTTAGCTCAAGCTTTAACCTGTTATTTTTGTCACTATCTTAACAAAAAATAAACATGTCCATTATATATTGTAAGATGAATGATAAAATCATTCTCAAATAATCTCTTTAAGAACACACAATGATCCAATGTTGTTCTCTGACTCTGATGATTCCACATGAAAGAATCAAACGTCTTTAGCAATCTTGTCTCTACCCATATACGCTTTCATCCCGCAAACCATTTGATTTTTACCTTTTGCTTTAAATCCTTCTATCTGCTCCATATATTTATATCTCCTGGTGGCTATGGAGGAAGGAAATCTTGATGTCTAGTTGTTCAACTTCTAGATTCAAGCTTGCATCCATGCCTATCAAATAAGAGAAAAATATTTCATCAAAATTAAGAGAAACTTTTCATCAAAATTAAGACAAGCTTGCATCCATGTCTAGTTGTTTCACTATAAGAGAAACATTTCATCGAAACCTATCCAAACCAATCTTGACAGCTACCTTAGTTGTAATATTTTCTCTTCAGTCGTCAATATGAATGCCCACTTATTTTTCAATAATTTCTTACTTCTAGCAACTTTGCCAAGATGAAGCCTTGCATGTTATTGAAGATATTGTGGCTTATTTGACTTCTTCAAGTTTTAAACAGTTAGGTCTTCCTAGAAGACCACATCTCTAGTCCTGATCACGTTATGTGAAAAAGAGATTTTCTTCCAATCCATACTCTCTCATAAATCATCTAAAGGAATGATCAGGATCCATATATTAGATAGCACATTATGCGAACAACTTCACATCAATATGGCTTTGGAAACTTGGCTAGATAGCATACTCCTAACTCACTTTATAATGGTATAATTTATTCATTCTATTGCAGCATTATCCTAGTAGGTAGAAGACATTTGTCTTCTCGTTTGATGTCATGCTTGACACAGTACATTCTAAAAGCATTATAGGTGGAATCCTCCTGCCTTGAAGTCACTTTGATAGGTTTTTTGTCTTCTTTTCCACAATAGCATGAAAGTTTTGAAAGATCTGAAACACATAGTCTTTCAATTTCATCAAGTTCGTCAATACTTGCTTTAAAGCATCATCTATAAAGGTGATTTAAGATGAAGCACATCATAATGCAACATATGTGAATTTAGCATCTTTAGCATAAGCTTCATCCTAATGTTGATTTTAATGCGTACATCTCTGCTTCCGTCAACCATCATTCCCCCTCTTTACAGAGCTTGTAGACACGTCACCAAAATTGGTGTTATTTCTAACTACCTAAAGCTTCAAGCACACTAGCCTAATGAATCATAAGACAAACTGATCAATAATCCATACTTTAACCATAGTCCACCCATAGGATATTCCCTAAATATTCTATATAACCCATTTTAGGATACTAGCACGCAAAAGCAGCATGTCACAAGTTTAAAAAGAGAGAAAATGTTCAAAATTGCTGAACTAAAGTCCGTAAAGGGCATGAACTAACAAAAAATGTTATAAAATTAGCAACTACAAAGATTTCGGTGGGATGCCGGACTAGAAAGGGTCCAACAACAAGGACCATGTCACTTGGGGCAATAAGCCCAACAACGTGCCCCACCTTGATGGACATATGGTCCAGATTTACCACGTAATGTCGATTATATGATTTTTTTGTTATTTTGTTTACAAATTGACCAATTAGGGTCGTCAAAAGCAGCTTTTTTGCTATGAAACCCGTCAACTCTAAACCCTAGAAAGTCCTAGGAGATCAAACCCTAATTTCATAGCAAATTTTAGTATCTTAGGAGTAGAACATCCTTCCTAGCAAGAACCCTAGATGTAAAACTTCCTTAGAGAATTCAAGACAGATCTAGAGCAGCAAATTTTGAAGATTGAGGAGAAAAGACTCATGGCTCTTTCGTCTTATACGAACCCCAACCCTGACTGTTGCATCGAGATCCTGGCTTCCCAAGTATTTCTTGTCATTTGATTTGTTTCCCTTTCCTTATCTTTTTCTTTATTAGTTATATTCGCTTCCTAAAATCTTTCAATGCCCGTATCCATGTTTTCCTTGATTTCTAAGGGTTTCACTTTTGGTTTTATGTTGATCTAAGTCGTCTCAGCCGATGGTTTATAGATAGACCAGCTTTCAGTCTCGCACTGTGTGACCCACTAGGTCAGTCAACCCATGAACTTCATCGGTTGTTAAATTTCTCACTAGCAGTTCACAGAGGTCACAAAGGATCTAGTGTCTTTCCACCGGTGGTACAGACAACAAGATATTTCCAAAGAATCTTCCCCATACCAATGGTTGACATGATATGTAGTTTGGACGACACCCCTTTGCTCGTCTTACAACCAATGCCTCACTTGATTTCCATTTTACAAGTAACCAGCGGTGTTCGGATGATTGAATTTATCAAAGACATGGGTGAAAAAAAATGTGATATCACTTGTTAGGCTTATGGTGAAAAGCTCTCTTGCAACATTGTGTATACATGCAAAGGAATATGTATGTCTGCTTGTGCCCTTGGGATTAATTATCAAACACTTGGTGTGCTTATGTGGAGAAGTGGGAATAAGAAACAAGCAATAAAAGCAAGCACCGGACACCAAGATTTAACGTGCATCCCCATATGGGCTATGTCCACAGGAGTGAGGCAAATAATCCGTTAGAAATAATAAAAATTATAAATGTTTGATGGAACAAATCACATTCTTCTAATAAGCTATTTCTCTATTAAATAACTAAACGAAAATTATCCATCAGTTCAAATTCAATTAAATAACTAAACGAAGGGCGAGTTTTGGATGCAATCGCCCAAACTTTTTGTACAATATTTTAGCCATATTTTATTGAATTTGATTTAGTTCGAGACAAACAAGAAAGAAAATTATAGTAGTTGGAAGAAAAATTTGAGGAAAAGTATTCCATAGTAAAAAGTATTTTTCTCCAGGATTGAAGTTCATCCTTATTTAGAAAGAAAATTTCACCAATAATTACCGGTTTTACAGCATAATGAGTAGAGGACCTCACTGCTTTCTAAAACTTGCCAGAATTATTCTAATTTTCATAAGCCCTTTTACCTGACCCAATCCTCTGTGCTATCTCTGCATTTTCTTCAATCTCCTTAGACCCAAAAATAAACACGAGGATAAAGAGTTGTCATTGGGAAGAAATATTTTGTTGAAGGATCGTGATACAAAGATATTTAAAAAAGTACAAAGATACTTATTTTGTTGTTGTGACGAAACACTATGCTAAAGTTTGTTTGATGAGCAGGTAACAGCGGCCACATGCTCTTTCATGGTGTTGTTCTCTTCCTCCATGTTAGCGGTCCTATACCTGTTGCTTGGCCTTCAACCTTTAGACCATGCACTGTGTTTTGCTGCCATGTGCTTCTTCTCTTCCTTGTTGGGACTCCTTTTGGTACAAAGTGCCATTCAAAAGTATGGGAGGGTCTCACTCATTATATTTTCAGTTGGGACAGGCATGGCAATAAGCACTCTTAATCACCACCTTGTTCTCTTTTCCCTTTTCCCACAAAGTGGGCCAAGTTGAGCTGAAACTTAGTGTACCAAGTTATTAAAGTGATTTCCATGCGTTACAAGTATATAAATATGGACACGGTTAGCATGCGCCCAAGCCCATACATGTATTGGCCCACAAGTAGAAACGCAGGCTTGGCAATAAATATATTTTTTAAATATAATTTGATCCTAATTTTTAAAGAATATATAATTTTTAACATGAAGATCATGATTATAAAGAAAAAAAAATTGAAAGCTAGGAATAATAATTATATTAAGATAACATTTATATCGTTAGTTATAATTGTTTTTAGATGAACCACCTATTTGCATCCATCTTTAAGATGGACGCTTTATACCGCATATTGTAGAAATGCGGTCTAGCCCGCATGAAACATTTGTTCATAAAATAATGAAAAAAAAAAGTTTATATAATGTGTCAAGAAGTGAAAAGCCTTCCAATAATAATTTTGACCTCAATATATATGAATATGAAAAAATAAAAGAATAAAAACAAAAAGTATTTCAAGTCTTTAAAATAGCACAACATATAATATATTATTTGGACCGCCCATTTCCAAGATGTTCAAGTGTTTATATATATGCTTGATTTTTCCCAGTTTTTTAGCTATAATTTTTTTAATGAAAAAGTTTTATATAATGTTGAGGCCCTAAATAATCAAAAAAAGGGGCGGGCACCTTAAAAAGTTCGTTAGATAAAGTTGTTTCGATGTTAAAAATCTCTCAAATCTGATCATCTTGGCTTTGAGATATATGGACATAAAAAAAAGTTGGATTTCAAGACTTGGAAATATTATATTTTTTAATGCATTATCTAGACAACCGATTTTCAATATTTTCAAGTGTTCATAGACCCTATTTCGAAGCTTTAAATTTTATACTTAGAGAAGAACGTAAATTCAGGCCATAATAAAGATGTTTGATATTGAAATGACATCTTTCAACACTATTTAAAGGTGTTCCTTAATTTAGGGCCTCAACTTTATAAAAACTACATCCTTTTCTAGTTAGTCACGAAAATTGATTTTCAAGTCTTTATAAGAGCTTACGGCACCAGAATTGCATCTTTTAGTAAGATTTACAGGTGCGCGTTACTTTGATTGTACACATTATAGGGAAGTAAAGATGGTTGTCAATTACCAATAATCTAAAATATGGTGGAAGTTTAAAATCGGTCATAAACTAGCGATTTTGACAAGAAGCATATGGAAAACACTACGCAACGTTTATAGGCGAAAATGAACAGTGATTTCACCTACCTCCATCACCGTCCAAAGTTCATCACACTGTCACAATTGTTCGGTAGTGTTTCATTTTTCATTTTTTTTCTATAAATCGGAATGACCTAAAATTTGGAACGTGTATTCATCAAAAATAGGGAAATCTTCGAAAAATATAAAAAAAAATTTTACATGAAAATTATTTACCAAAATACCCCCGAAAGATTTCGGAGGTATTTTGGTCAATTTATTTTTCACGGATAATTTTTTTTATATTTTTATTAGATACGCATCAGTAAGATGTACGTATTATCCAAATTACAGGTAATTCTGATTTATAGAAAAAAATGAAAAATAAAACACTACCAGATAATTGTGACCATGCGATGAAACTTAGACGGTGATGAGAGCAGGTGAAATCACTATTTATTTTCGCTTATAAGGATTAGGAAGACTTTTCCTCGATATATATATATATATATATAGGATAATCTAAACATCACAACCCTTGACATTACAAACGTTAAAGATAGAGAGAGTTGTGAATGGTGGATTTACTAATTTTATAAAAAAAATTTTAAAACAGTTAGTTTTTGTGATACTTTTATTGTTAAGTAAGGGCAATTTTGTAAATATTACTACAGGACATTAGGTACTTTTGTCATCAGTTAAAATTTTTACTAAAAGACAAGGGCACTCTACAAATAAAATTCTAGAACACTAACTTCCAAAATGTCATTGTGCTTTTGTAAAAATTTCAAATTTGCCCTTGCTTAATAGTTTAGTTACTTATTAAATTAATTTTTTAAATAAAAACTAATCATCTTTTTGATATATACACTCATCACAACCCCTTCTAACTTTAGGTTGATCTGACGGTTACAAACTCATTTTGTATTTGAATTTACATTCTTTTTTAACAAATCCAAATCACTTGAAATTTTAGACGTTCATTCTTCACATCAATGCCCACCTAATGAAAATATAAAACAAATAAACTGTAAAATATAAATTGACCAAACTACCCCCGAAATGTTTCAGGGGTATTTTGATCAATTTATATTTCGTGAAATATTTTTTTTATATTTTTATTATATTCTTCTATTTTTTAAGAATAGACACCCCAAATTTTAAGTGAGGTCGTGACCATTGGATTTGGCCCAGATTGAATCTGGGCTGTTGGCTGACAATGTAGTTGTCAGCCCGTGGGCTGTCAAGATCTTTCCCCCCCCCCCAACCACACACACACACACACACATATATTTCAATTTTCAATTTTTTTTATAAAAATCCAAATCACTTAAAATTTGAATGTCTATTCTTAGAAAGTAGAAGAATTTAATAAAAATATAAAAACAATAATTCGTTAAATATAAATTGATCAAAATAGCCCCGAAATGTTTTGGGGGTATTTTAGTCAATTTATATTTTACGAATTGGCATTTTTATATTTTCATTAGGTGCACCTTGATGAGAAGAATGAATGCCAAAAATTTCAAGTGATTTGAAATTGTATAAAATAAATAAAATGAAAATACGAAATAAGGTTGTGACCGTCAGATCGGCCCAAATTGCTGTTGGCTGATACTGTAGT